GTCTCTCTCTGTCTCTCTCTCTCTCTCTCCCTCCCTTCCTCCCTCCCTCCTCTCTCTCTCTCTCCCCTCTCTCTTTTTCTCTGTCTGTCTGTCTCTCTCTCTCTCTCAATACATTTTAAGTTGAAACACAGACACAAACTGCTGAAATCTCTGCGACAAGCCTTGGATATTGATGCGATATATTTAATTTCTGTTTCATTTAGTTTGTTTGTGACAGCATGTTACTCTGTCACCCAGGCTAGACTGGAACCCTACAGCCTTCAGCATACATCTGCTTGTAAATGGCTACATTTACAATAACGATGCTCCAGATATCTCCCACACAACTCTCTGCCAGCTCACCCTCCATCACCTGTGGCCAGTAATGGAATGACATGTCCCAAACTTCCTTAAATATCAAAAGTGAAGCATGCCCTTGATACATGGTAGATTTTTCATTGACTTACACGATTGAATGTACTTACTGGGCGCAGTGTTAGGCAGAGTGTACAGCGCTTTCAGGATGTAATGAGCAAGTTGGGCTTGTTGGCATGCCCGTGCCATCATTTCTTTGTGGTCAGAGCCTTAGAGCCCCTCTCCTCCAGTTCATAACTGAAACAGGTTACCAGAACTAGAGCCAACTTCCCGTTCTCTCTTCCTTGGTCTGCTATTTCCTCAGTTAAAGAATTTCCCTTGGTGTCTCCCTACATGTGAACACTTCTAGTTTTTTTTTTTTTATCACTCATTGTAACTTCAGCTTTATTCTAGGCCATATTCATATCTATGCTTGCTCAGACATCTATGAGTAATTAATTAATTGTAAGATTAATTCCTTTACTTATTTTTAATATATTATTTTTAATCCCTTTTCTTATTTTTAAAATGTTTTTAAGGATTTGTTTTATTGTATCTTTGTGTGTATGAGTGTGTTGAGTGCATGTTTGTGCGTGTGTGTGTGTGTGTGTGTGTGTGTGTGTGTGTGTGTGTACAGGGGTTCACAGCAGCCAGAACAGGTTATGAGTCCCTTGGAGCTGGAGCTACGACTGTTTGTGAGCTGTCTGGTGTGGGATATTGAGATCTAAAGCCCTTTCACCAAGTAGTAAGCACTCTTAACCCGGGAACCATTTCTCCAGTTGTTCTTCCTATTTTTTACATTCCTTGTATGGACTACTAGTGATCTTTTCACTTTTTGTAAGCTCAAACTTAGTCACGTTTGCTATGCATAGGCATTAAGCAATTCCATCAGAGGAAATAGCTGTGTCTGAATACACCGGCAGGGAGCCTATACTATGATGTAACACATAATAGGTTTCTCCTGGCTAATGAGACTGAGTCTGTCTTTCCCTGAGTTCCCTGTTATAAATTATTTTCCTCTTGGGTTGATTTTATTAGAATTCTGAAATGATACCAACTTGAATAAAGTCAAGGTATTTTATTCAACCTAAGTTACTAAGAAATAATATTTTTATGAGAGGGAATGCTGTTGGAGCAGGTGAAGACACTGATCTACTTAACCAGTGATGTCTTCTGTTTCCAAAGTCCTAAGGCTACTTGGTTCCTCCAACTCTGCTAAGAAGGGCAAAGGTCCATATCACAGCCCAGTTTACACTTGAATCACAGAAACTCATACCAACGTGGTTGTATTCTTGTAATGTGTCCACTTTGTACTTATTAGAGAGAATTAGTTGTTCCTCTGTTTGGTTCCACTGTGCTAAGGAACTCATGCTGAATAAGAGATGCAAATGCTGGTTCTACCAACACAGCATCTTTACCCTGGACCCATAATATTGCTTTCCCCAACACGGCATCTTCATCCCTAACCCATGAGGCTGCTCCCCCAATACATCTTCACCCCTCATCTGTGCATCCTACCTAGCTTGACAAGGCGGAGCATGGAGGTGTTGCTCCCTCTCTCCGTGCAGGCTGTGACAGAGAGGTTGTAGATGTCTCCTGGAGGCAGGCTGAGAATGGCAGTCATGACGTTGCGTGTTACCTGCAAGACCATCAAGATGAGTGACTTCAATGTGGAACGAATGAGCCAGCACCTACACAGCAAATCCACAGCTAGTAACTCCAGGGCTCTACCAAACAGCCTCTACCCCATGAGTTTACACTGCAACCTACAATTAACTTATTATTGCTTGGCTGGATTGTCTGAATGCAAGCTGTCATAAAGTGTACAATGCATATCAACTCAGAACAATTTTGTAATGTGTTCTTTTATTTGGAATGGTCATTACTCTGCTGCCATCCCACATATTGACAACAGCCTTTAGAAAAGACATTTACTATATGGTTCCAGAGAAGCCTAGTCAGGTCTGTACACTCATGCAAATGAAGACCTGCCTGACAGCAATCCCTGGATACCCTGGAAAGAAAATGGACCACACCTCCTCAACTGCACTGAATCCAACTTGCTCCATTTCAACTGACGCTCCAGCCAGAGGTTCGGATACTGACTTCAATCAAGTTGAGGATTTCAAGCTAGATCTTCAATCAAGAGAATCCCATCTAACATGGACTGGATACAATTCATTCAAGACTTTCACTATACTAACATTTTCTTCCTACAGGACCCCACATGACTATCATGGTCCCATTTCAACAGGAAGTAACTTGGAGGATGCTACGCCCACTTTCCCAATTGTTGTTATTTAGGATATTGTTTATACCTAGTTAGGGATAGCTTCCTATTGTTTTTGGTTGGGATTGGAATGAGATGTTCAGGCTTGGATACCTCTGTCAGATGACTTTAGGGTTTACTTAACATAGATAGTTAGGATGTGACATAAGCAGATTGTTGTATCTTCTTATATTTTACCTTTATGATTGTTCATTTTGGATACTTTAAACTGTTAAGTTTTAATCCTCTTTTAGACTAAAAGGGGAATTGTAGGGGAAGCTGTAGCCACGCCTAGGGGCTGGCTACAGGGGTGCCTGACCATGCTTGTGAGGGCTTGGTCAGAGTGACGTAGTGTGACTGCGTTTGCGCTTTCGGTTTCACTTTGCTTCTTACTGTACAGATGCTGCCATGCCAGCTGGCTAGGTCGCTCTGTAAGTAAGGCTTTTCCCTATTAAATACCCTTATATTTCTACCTGACTCTGTATTGGTAATTTCCCACTATACCTTCTATCTGCATACTTTACTTCCTGTCTTCTACAAAGCTAGAGGGGATCATGTGATCCAATTCTGACCAAAAGTGGATTGCAAAAGGAAGCCACATGGGCAAATTAAGTTGAGGTGAAGACTCACTCTGTGTAAATGAGCACTCCATGTAGCAGAGGATGGGGCAACACAAGGAAGAGTCTAGGTAATCCTTCATCTCCTTTTTTATTTAATCCACTCTTTTTGTTTCTTTTGGCTGCAATAGTTTATCTGTACCCTAACACATAGTCAAAAAGCTTAATAAAGCAGGAGAGAAGAAATCAATATTATAAAAGCACTCCAATATTCAGATAGTGGGGATAAGTAGTGAAAATATTGACATGTTAGTGGTGGTTTGTTTGAAAGCATTCTGAAGAAAACTTTCCAATTACAAATCTCTTTATTGTCTCACATAGCCTAGGATGGCCTTGAACTTGTTATGTAATTGAAGATAACCTTAAACTCCTTCTCATGTCCCCACCTTCTCAGTAACCACTACACTCAGCTCTCAAATCACGACTTTAATTGTAAGTGACATCAGTAGCAGCAATAGTTCCAGCTCCCTGCCAATGACTGAAAGGTAAGCTTAAGGGAGGTCAACTGCCCGTCCATCAACTGTTTGGATGCCTGATGTCAGGACTCAAAGAGACATACACTCTTCTTAATCTTCTTCCTCCCTTCTGCAACCACCATCCAATGCAGCATTCTAGAATGGGACAGGTCAGTGTGCTCATCCCCATAGGTCCAACTGATGTACAGCAGGCTGTTGAAGTACTCCACGGAGGTGATGTCTGGAGCCACAGGGGCTGCAAGGAAGGAAAGAGACACAACTCAGAGGCTAAGGACTGAGGTACTTCCCTGCAAATGAAACTGACCTAGAAAATTCAACTTCATATCACATGATTATATCTAAGAAACAAAAATGGAGGTCTGAGGTACAGGTTGGGCACTTGCTATACAGGACCAACTTTCTACATCTTGGACACAAGACAACTGGACCCATCCTAGCCAGAGAATATCCAGGTCTCCTGTCTAAATTACAGTTTCAAGATGCCTGAAATGCTTGATTGCTTGAGCATCTTGGGTACATCACTCAGTAGTAAAGGGCACCGGAAGGTAATTATTGTAACAATATTAGAAAATCTGGGGTCCTGTAATATTAAATCTCTCGTTGTGGTGCATTAAAGGAGCTTTGGAGATTGAAGAACAGCAGGAGATATGGGAAGAAACAGAAGACAACCATGATGGAAGGACAGACGACTGTTACTTCCCTATCATAACTGGTGGTTTCACTGACACAATCAAGCCTGTGTTCTTGTGGAATGTTAATTTAGGATGTGTTACATTTGTTTACACTGTGGAACATTGCTAATGATGCAAAGATGTGTTGCAACCTTTTATGTTGCATTTGTTTAACTCTGTGAAGCTCTGTTAATTTGCCTGTCTCAAACACCTGATGGGTCTAATAAGAGCTGAACGGCCAATAGCTAGGCAGGAGAGAGAAACAGGAAGAGCTGCAAGGAAGAAAGAATAAATAAAAGAGAGAAGAGGGGGGAGTGAGAAAAAGCCATTGAATAAAAAGAAAAGAAAGGTATATAGAAGAGAGAAAGGTAAAAGCCCAGAGGCAAAAGGTAGATAGGAAAATTTAAGGAAAACTAGCTAGAAACATGCTGAACTAAGGCTAGGGATTCATAAATAAGGATAAGTTTCATAAATAAGGATAAGTATTTATTTGTGAGCTGGGTGGTGAGCCCCCAAAGAGCGAAGAGTGAAAAAACCAATCATACGGTGCTTTTCAGAAACTGGGCTCTTAGTAAATGCAGACACAAGCAGTAAAGAAAGAATAGATTTTTAAAATTATGCCCCAAAGCTTAAGTCTGGCATTGGGGTTATTTCTTTAATTCACATTCTATCATTTTAATATTAAAATTTAATTTAATTTAACATGTAATTTTTGCCAAGGAAGCAAGTTTAGTTAAACTTCATATCATATAAGCTCTGAGAGCATATTTTAATTATCCTTTAAAGTCTCCTAAAATTCTAAAGACCTTAAAGAACAAATATACAATTAAATTTAAATTGCATGTGCAAATTGGCTGGAAAGCAAGCAGGTCACCACAAGACATTGTATAAGATCAATCAAAATCTTTAAAGTAAAATTTCTAGAAATTGTAAGAATTGTTTCCTTTAATAGGACACTAATAGGTGACATGAATTCTCAGTAGACAGTTTCAAAACCTGTTACTTACTGAAGGACTTACAGCATACATGTAATTTACAATACCTGCATAATATCTGTAGGGATCATGTGTTTGTATGCATGCCTGCACCAACCACTTATCTGTGTCCTGTGAAGTGTGAGCAGCCCTTTCCCATGTGTCTAACAACACAACTCCTAAGTATTCGCAATGCTCTCTTCTTCCTCTGTGTCTGACATAATCCCTAAATATCAGCAATGCTCTCCCTTTCCTGGGTGTCTAACAACACAGTCCCTAAGTATCAGGGATGCTCTCCCCGTTTGGATCCTGAATGTCCATTCAGAGGCTGCAGAGGTGGTGGAGACGTTAGGGGTGGGGCCTCATGGAAGGTAGGAGGTGACTGGGCATGCGCTTTGGGCCAGATCTCTTCCTCTTGTTCTGTCTGTTTTTCTTTCCAGACGCTGTGAGGTGAGCGGCTTTACTGCTCCACATTGGCTAATGCCGTGGTATTCTGCCTCATTATATACTAGAACTCCAGAAACCATGAGTTAAAAGAAATTTCTCCTTTTTATAAGTTGGTTGTCTTGGGTATTCTGTCATAGCAATGTAAGACAAAAATGCCCACATCACATTCCACAATAATCTAATGCAGAGATATGCATATGACTTCTTGATAGCCTCTTAATGTATTCCAATATGCTTCATCATCTATAGATACCTATACATTGATTCTTCAAAGGCAGTTTCCTTATATTCTGATTTTGGTGAGGCCAAGAAATACTCAAAATTTTAAACCTAGAAGTCAGTACCTGCTCTTCCTCACAGGGCTGCGCCTTCAGATTAGGTACTTGTTGCTTTAAAATCTCAAATATTGCCAAAGGCCACAAGATGTCACTAGCTGTTAATTAATCATTATTTGGTATATTAACATGACTACTATGGGTTTGGCTTTTAAACAAGTTGCCTAATCCTGATTCTAGATTGCAGTCTGAATAGGTCATACTCAGTTTAAATACTCTATTATTTATTTATTTATTTTTGGCGAGGGATGTACTGAGACCTGAACTACTGAACTCAGAGTTTCCTGCAACCTGGAAGTGGCTCTAAAGCTGATCTACACACCCAGCCTCCCACTGTGTTTATTTTGAAACAGTGTCTCACTAAGGGGCTCAGGCTGGCTTTGAATTCACCCTGTAGCCCAGTCCAACCTTAAACTTGTGAGCCTCCTGTCTCAGTCTTTCCAGTAGCTGGGATTATTGACCTGCACCTAGGCCCAGTTTGCTGGTTCCTTTTTACACCATACAATTTGACAACTTGGATTAAAACTCAAAACACAGGAAAGCAATGCATGAGAATCTCATGTAAAAAAAAAAAAAGATTCTTGCCTGAAATGGCAAAGAACTAAAGGCTAGAATTTCAACTGGTTTAATATATAAATATATACCTATATGTATATGTGTGTACACATGCATGTATGTATAATTTAATGCTTTTGTAGGTCTGTGCCGTTTGTGAGGTGTGTGTGTGTGTGTGTGTGTGTGTGTGTGTGTGTGTGGGTGGGCTTGCTCATGCATATGCACACAGAGGCCAAAGGTAGAGGAATATCTTGCTCTATTGTTCTCCATCTTTTTTTTTCAATGATTAAGACTTTCTGCTCCTGGAGCTTGCCATTCAGCTAGACCGACAGGCTAGTGAGCTCCCAGATCTACAAGATTCTTCAAGGCTGGAGCTGCAGAAACATCGGCCATGTCTATCTCATCAGCCATGTCTAGCTTAGGTCCTAGGGGGTCTTTGTCTGTGTTCAGCAAACACTTCACCCATGGAGTTATCTCCTCAGCTCTACTAATATATTTTAATGGGTTTTATGATATAGTTTAGTTCTTACACTGTGCTATTACTGGATCCATTTTTCAGATGTGAGAATTGAAAACAGTTGTGTCAAACTAAAGCCTTAATGTCAACTTGACTAAGCCATTCATCAGGAAAAATTAAACTCTCAAGATCACATTATTGGAGATAACAATTTTGTCACTAACATGGATAACCCATGGAGACAGATTGTTTATCTGGACACGATAATTCCAATATAAGCTGCTGTAAACTTTGCTCTGTTCCAAACAGGTCCTAATTTTGTTTATTTAAAAGATTTTGTCCTTATTTTTGTTAGTATAAGGACATGAGGGGTGTGTGTGTGTGTGTGTGTACACAGGGAAGGAGGCTGTGCACATGAGTGCAGTGCCCAAAGAGGCCAGAGGAGGGCGCCAGATCCCTTGAAGCTATAGCTATGGGTGGTTATGAGCCACCTGACAGGGACAATGGGAACTGAACCCAAGTCCTCAGCAAGAGCAGCCAGCATTCTTAACTGAAGCCCTCTCTTCAGCCCTGTCATCGTTTTGAAAGGCACACTGTACTGTGGCAGAGAATCCTGCCTGAATCCTGTTAATTCCTTATTGCTGCTGCTAAACATCTGTAAAGGGGATATTCTAACTCATGAACGCTGGCTCTGTGGTCCTGTTGGCAGGATCTTGGATAGTTCTGCTGATGAGAAAAAGTTCAAAATCATTAAGATGATTCACTCAAATGTCTGCAACTAGAAATGAGCACGGCAAGTTCAAAACCAAGCCTTTTTAAAGGCCACTGTCCTGCCTAGAGAGGAAAGGGCACTCATTCCCTAAAAGCAAATGTCTATAAAGCTAACCTGTAAGAACTAGAGCTATAGTGGAGTTTAATTGTGTGCTTATTGATGTAGTTTGAGAGATGACCATAGTTTACCTGGTGATTGGTACTGCCTCCACTTCTAGGATTTTCTCTCTTACCCTCTCTAATAGGACAGCTGGCATATGGGACAGTTACTACTACTAAAGAAAGTGGCAGCCACAACTCGTTATCTCCACTGTTTTCCCAATACAGCTCTAAGTCTGAAGAATGTTCTTGAATAATGTGAGTGGTTCTTTTATTTTTAAGATTTACTTTACTTTTAATTCTGCGTATGTGTGTATCTGTGTGAGGTTATAATGCATGTGAGTGCAGTTGCCCATGGAGGTCAGAAGAGGGCGTCCTGCCCCTAGAGCTGGAGTTCCAGGTGGTTGTAAGCCATCTGACTTGGGTGCAGGGCCCTGAACTCAGTTTCTCTGAAAGAGCGGCAGGTGCTCTTAATCACTGGGTCACTTCTCCAGCTCCAAGGTCAATGCTCCCTTAAGTGAAATTTTCATTTTCATTGTTTTCTACAATTATTGTTGATGTGACTGCACAATTGAAGGCTTTGGAGGAACTAAGATGAACTTAAATTAGCACCTAAACTATGTGCCATGTATTGTGCTAAGGAGTTCATTCAATAGAGAATTCATCGTTGCTTGTAATGATAGCATTCCACAGCATCCTCTTCTGTGCCTTGGGGAAGACCTGAGGCTTGGGGAAGTTAGCTTGTTCAGGCTTGAAGTGACCAAGGCAAAGCCAGGATTGTAGGGAGAAACGCTGATTATAGGTATCTCTGACCACGCCCACGTGGGTAACAAAGGTTTAAGAAAGAGGGAGGCACACATGCGCTCTCTCTCTTGGCTGAGCTGACTGCTCAGGTGCAAACCTGGCCACTAGTTCCCTTGAGTGAGTATTTTCCCCCAATAAACTACTGGTTATCAACCTATCTCTGCTCCACTCTGTAATCATCAATACTGGATGGCGTGAATACCTCTTCAAACGCCTGCAGGGTACACTAGCACCATCAGTCCAGTGAGTGAGTGCAGACATGGAGTATTAACAAGGAAATGAAGCACCCTCACAGATCTGATGACCTAATGCAACATCAGTCAAGTGTACCGGGGAAGCTGAAAGCCATGTTTGCAGCCTCCAGCTCTATTCTGATCGATTCTGGCTGGAGAGCCCATGGCAAAGGCAGTGACTCCAAATGAATAAAAGTCAAGGGCAGGAACTGTGGATTTTAAAATCATACTCTCGGTTTTAATGCTTATCAACTAAATCATGAAAGACCAGAGTCAAGGATGTGTCTTTTATGAAGATGATAAGTCAGTGATGAGCGAATGGTAGTCTCTGGCCACGGGATCCTTCGGTACCTGCTCAAGCTGGCATTCTCTCATGGGACCCTTCCCTCTAGCACTTACCTGTTATGAAGCTGATGGTGGAACTGTCACAACAGCTCAGTTCTGGATCTCCCCATGTCACCATGGTTACCCGAAAGTTGTAGTACCAGGCTGGCAACAGATTTGCTATTCTCTGGATAAGGATGGGGAAAAGCAGGAGACAACCAAGAGGAAACCAGTATTTATGGAGGTGATTTCCGTTCCTTGGGTCACGATAAATATTAACAAACAATTTTTTGTTTTCTTTTTCTATGTCTTTAGATTTATTTTTGAAGTGCAATGAGCCATAAATGAAATGAGACATGTGTAATTTAAAAAGATGATTCAAAGACAGATAAATATGGGTATTGCGTCACCATTTCCAAGGTTATGCTGCACAGCGAAGCACCACGTATTTATAAGTGTCTGCACACATTCATTTCCCCGCTTCCAGGAAAAAGGGACAGGATTCTAGCATGGTAATAAGCAGCAACTGTATGCGTCATGTGTCATGCGTAGGTAGACCACACTTTGCAAAAATGAGTTTGGTTTCAGAAACAGCAAGTATTACCTAGGCTTTGAAAGCTCTTTCCAAAGGGTTAGCAATATAGATATTTAATGATCTGTACATGCCAAGAGGAGTCACGACAAGAGATCAACAGTGTCAGTCACCTGTTGAAGGCCAGAGGGAAACCTCTGGTGTTGAGAGGAAAGTTAGTGTAGGGTGGTTCTGCTCTGATTTGAGAAAATTCATCAAGAGAAAAATACCATCAGGGGTGAAAGGTAGTTGCATAGCTATACTCCCCCTCTCCTTCTCTCCTCTCTCTCTCTCTCTCTCTCTCTCTCTCTCTCTGCCTCCAAAGAAAAAGACAGAATCTAAATCTAAGAGGAAAAATAAAGCCATGGACTACCAAACAAAAATCCAGAGTGACCTGAAGTGCTCATATGCATGCAATCCTAACACTTTCAAGGAAGTTAATGGTCATCCTTGGCTATGTGAGGCTGTCTCAAAACCACCACCACCACCACCACCACACACACACACACACACACACACACACACACACACACACACACACACACAGAGTCATACACACACACACAAACACACATACATACACACACAGACACACACACAGACACATACACACACCACACACACACAGACACAAACAAACATACACATACACACACACACAAACACACACACAAACACACACACATACATACACACACACAGACACACACACAGACACATACCCCCCCACAGACACAAACAAACATACACATACACACACACAAACACACACACATACACACACCACATACACACACATACACACACATAGACACACCACATACATACATACATACACACACACATACACATACACCACATACACACACACATACACACACCACATACACACCCATACACACACAGAGACACCCCACATACATACATACATACACACACACATACACATACCACATACACACATACACACACACATACATACACACACACATACACATACCACATACACACATACACACACACATACATACACACACACATACACATACCACATACACACATACACACACACATACACATACCACATACACACATACACACACACACATACACACACAAACACACACACACAGACACACAGACACACAAAACAAAACCAACCAACCAAATCCCCCAAAACCCTAAATTAAATTAAATAAAAACCAAAAACAACAACAAAAACCCAGGGCCTTGAAAACAGCTATTTACAAAAGACTACTTTCAAAATGACCTAACTTACAGATAACTTTCTCTAACATACTTGTGACACAGGCATGGTCATTTACACAAGAGTGCACCAGCTGGCTAAGGGAGGATTACCACGGATGCTGTTAAGGAGACCGTCGCTGCTATTTCGTAGTAGGTCGTCCACTCTGAGGTCATGGTGGTGGGGTTGAAATAAAACATTTCAACCACGTATTTTCTGAACACTCCCAAGTAAGGTCGGGTCCAGCTCAGCACTACAGCCGTGGGACCCAAGGGGTAGAGCATTAACTCCTTTATCCCAGTGGGAACTAGAAAAGGGAGGGGGGAGTAAAGAGAGAACGTGAGGAGCAGCGTTAGCATCTCCACAGTGGCTTCAGACTGAACAATCAGGACTGCCGTTTTCGTAACACCGCCCTACAAACCAAAGTAAACATATTTACCCTGGCTCTCTCCCCTATGTAGTAAACAGAAGGATGTCTTCCAAACATACAGTTCTGCTTATTTGAAGTAGTCAGTCCTTCACACCAGCAGGTACAAGAATCTGTTTATTTAATTCAATGAACAATGGGTATGCCCCGCAAGCTGCCCTCTAAGTCTTAGTGCTGAGTGTGTGTGTGTAGTCACACACACTAGATCCACATCCTCGGTCTCCCACAAAATTGCATCTAAAACGACATCTTCTAAAAGTTACTTCTTTCTAAACAACACAGTAAACTCTTTGTGTAGTATTTATTCTTCACAAGATGTTATGGAAGATTGACCCAGCTATGGCTGAAGTGTACGGGAAGGTACCCGTGGGTTACACGCACACAAAGAACTAGAACGTCTATGACTTTCTGCTTCAGCTGTGTGTGTGGGAAGGCATCCCCTGGAAGTTATGTCCTATGAACACCGAGAAACCTACAGTCTGGTGCAGCAACCCTGAGCACAGGCTCATGACCTTTCTATATGTAATGAACTTTGACAAGACTGCACCTTTCAGACTGCTGTCTGGTAAAGATAGATCATGATTTTTGTGGCTGACAACTTACCAATGGCAAATGTCACAGGATCAGAAGGTGGTCCAATCAAAGGGCCTTTTCTTAGGTACATCACAACCTGGTACTGGGCACCGGGAACCAGATTCTCAATAACAGGCTTGCTTGAGTTCACCTTAAATCAAACACCAGGTAAGATTTATGGAGAGTTAGATTTTCAGAGTGTGGCGCAAATGCTGTAAGAAGTTGCTAGAGTGTTACCGTTGACTTTGAAATCTGGTATCTTTTACTCATGACACGGAAGGCTGGATTTCAAAATGAGGATGATTTATAGTTTATGTGAATTCAGAAGCAGAGCCAGGACATTCAAATTCCGTGACTGGATTCATTATGTCCCATGGGCCACCCTCTATGCATCACTGTGGATTATAACCACACACACTGGAGTCGCATCCTCCTGGAACTATAATCAAATCAGGAATAACATGAGGGCAGCCTGAATGCTAAACTGTAGTGTCAGCTGATGACATGCCAGGATCAGTGCAGAATTGTCTTTAGTCTCTCTCCACTCTGAAGCATATAATATCTAATTATAGAGATGGAAATGACCTCAGAGATTATCCATTCAGATTTCTGATTTAATAGATACAAAAGCAAAGCCGGAGAACGGCCAAGGTCAGATTCACAATTGGGAGGAGAAGCTCAGTGCTATGACCTCCAATCTGCACTTGGTACAGCTGTAAGCTCTTTGCAAGTCTAGTGCAACCTTATAAATGATGTCATAGAGAGGGTGTCTCAGTTCTCCTTTTCCATTGGCTATGTGACCAGTGTGATACAGAGAGAAACAGTAGGAGTATACATCTGAACAAAGTGGATTTTTGAAGATGAATGCTGGCATAGACAGGGTTGCTTTTTCGATGAAAGGCTAAGAAGTGAGTGGGTTTAACATGAGCGTGTATATGTTGTGTGCATGTGTGTGCATTTGTATGAAATATATGTGTGAGCCCGAGCACCCACATTTGCACGTGTGGAGGCCAGAGGCTATTTTTAGGTGTCTTCCTCCATCACTCTGCATGTTATTTTTGGGACAGGGCCTCTCACAGAACCTGGTACTCACCATTGCCTTAACTGGCTGGCTGGTGTCTGCCTTCCAGAGCTGGGATGCAGGGCTCCGTCACCCTGTCTGGCTTTTTGCAAAGTTTCTGAGGATCTGCTTCTTGTCCTAACCATGTGTGTCAGGTACCTTACCCTCAGAGTCATCTCTCCAGTCCCAGACTTGATGTTTACAGTACTTGTAATACTTAAGACAGTTTCACTTAGGAAGACAAATGAGTTCTTTTCAGATTGCTTGAAATAAAATCCCAACTCTGTCTTGTATAGACACAGGATTTATTTATCCTTCATTTGAAATTGTTACGTTTGTTTCTTTGTTATTATAATGTAGGTAATAATACATCTTAAAGTTGCAGGATTCTTAGACCAGACTGTACATTAATGCTTAGGATCAATTGTTTTGGCTTCTGGGGTATCTAAAATGCAAAACTTATACGGGAATGAGCAAAACTGATGGATAACAATTTTGCTGGCAGTTTATGGTGTGCTTTTTTTTAAAGTCTTATTAAATTTTTAAGGAAAAAAGTACTGGCAACGGGAATTTCAACATTGTGTTTCAGAACCTGGTTATGTGAATTAGACGTGTCATGATTTGATAAGAATACAGCTTACTCTAACCCAAATGGGGTGGCATGCTACCGAAGATTATACTAGAATAGTTAATTAGTACTCTCCCCTTCTTTGCCTATTTATACCCTTTTATGATAGTATCTTACCCACGTTTATATTTCTTTACCAGAACACTTATAGTCAGTTATCCTGTGTGACTCTCATCTAAGGAGACAAACTAGTGAACAGATTATATGCTGGGCATGATGGCACATTACAGAATCCAAACACTTTGGGAGGTAAGGTCAAGGAAGATTAGGTGTTCAAGGCCAGCCTAAAGTATATAGTATGTTAGAGACTGGCATGGGCTGTGTGAAATTCTGGTCTCAGAAAATAAAATAAAAATAGATACAGTGCGACTTTTTTCCAATATATATATATATATATTGGAAAAAGTATCCCAGTTTACCATGTTGAGTTGACATTTTACAAAAATTAACAGCCATATTGGTCTAGAAATGTTGAACTTAATTTTTTTCCATTTGTACAGGGGTAACACACTGTATTAAATATGTCAGGTCTTAAAATAAAAAAAGAAGGGATTTTGAGAGCCCATCCCATCTGAAGGGATGCTCTCTTGGCCTGGACACGTGGGGAAGGTCCTAGGCCTGGCCCAAGATGATGTGGTAGACTTTGGGGAGCCCCTTTTGAGGGCCTTACCCTGCCTGGGGAGTGGAGGGGGGATGGCTAGGGGCAGCTGGGATGTTGGGGGGAGGGGAGGGAGAGGGAAGAAGGAGAGGGAGAGGGAGAAGGGATTGACATGTGAAGCAAGCTTGTTCCTAATTTGAACTAATAAAATAAAAAAAAATAGATACAGTGCATGTTGTGCATGACAGAACAATAGTTTTATTAAAATTTTATTAAAATTCTATGTGACAAAACTAATGTTTACTCCATGGATCAACTGTTCATCCAAGTCTCAGCATGTCTGTGGGCATTCTAGACTTCCCTCTTACATATTCAAAATAAGGTGCTGTTGACATACACACGTGGGCAGGGGGTGTTAGCAACATTGCTAGAGAGTTTTATTTTTGCTATGAGAGCATTTTAGACATCTGACACACTTGTAAATGTTCAGTTGGTTCCTTAATCACTCATGTTGCTATATAGAATATTTAGTCTAATGTAAGATGCAAACTGTGTAGGTTGCCCCATGGTGGTGTTATCACTCTTTTGATTCGACACACTTGTTTCTAACTGTTCATGGAACACCCGAGTCATAGCCACTTATAGGCAGCAGTCATAAACCCACCCTAGGGAAATGATGCCTTTTAGATGAAATAGAGACGTGTGAAAAAAATCATGTTGCTCTCTAAAAAAAGACAACAGGACAATGTCATTTCAAACTGCCTGTTTTTATAAAAAATATATTAAGACATCAATCCCGCTACCTCTTGGATCCCTAAATATCTGTTGAGGTGTAAACCTATATTTACACCTTAATTCTCTGTTGAGGAATATTCCTTTACACTGTGTGAAGATGTATCAGTGTGATTGAAACTGAATGGCTAATAGCTAGGTAGGAGGATATTAGGCTGGACTTCTGGGCACAGTGAGCTCTTGGGAAAGAAGAAAGCTGGGTTTCCAGCTGGAGGCAGAAGAAGTCAGTCATGCACAAGGATAGGTAAAAGCCATGAGCCCCGTGAAAGCACACTAAATTTAGAGAAATGGGTTAGTTTAAGTTATAAGAGCCAGTTAGAAACAAGCCTAATCTAAGGTTGAGCTTTCATAATTAATTATAAGTCTCTGTCATTTTTTGTGAGATGGAGGGATAAAGAAAATTCTGTGCCATATTTTTCTAATGAATTATTCAATCACTAGCCAACAAACCAATCAATATTGAACTGATGAATATAAAATTATTATGTTAATAAATATAATATGATATATAATAGTTAACATAATAACAAATATAATAAATTCTCAACACATCTTTTCACTTAATTCATAACCATTCTATAATTCTTCTTTTCCCTTGCTGGCTTACTCTTCAATCCCAGTGACTCCACTACATTTAATATGTCTCCTACAAGGCACTGGCTCTGCTGTCCCTACACAAGAGGCAAAACGCTAAGGAGGACAGCTGGAAGAAATACAATAGTCTGCTAAGTGGTGGGTTGAATGAGATGAGCATGGAGGTTTCCCTGAGTCTGAGATGGTCCTACTGCTACCCATGTGACACTTTCCTCATTAACTCGTTAGTGTCATTCATTCCAGTCAGTAGGGCTTTTCTATTCAAAGCCCAGAGTACCACCTGTCAACTGAAAGGCATCCAGCTAGGCCTCAATAACAAGAGCTGACCATTTTTTTCTTCTTTTTTGGTATCCTTCAGACACTATGTTAGACTTATTTACCTTTATTAAAGCCCTGTGAGATAGGACTGATTTCTCCCAATAACACAGATGAAGACATCAAGAAGAACTTGAGAGGGCTGGACAGATGTCCGAAGATTTAAGGATATACTTCGTTCCCTCTCAGAAGACCATGGTTCAATTCCCAGCACCCACAAAGCAGCTCACAACCACCTGTAACTCTAGTCCCAGAGGATCTGATGACCTCAGAGACAGAGACAAAGAGACACAGAGAGAGCTGCATGGGCAAGATCACTTGGGTTCTCAGAGCTGATAACTGTGAAGATCAAGTCTGAAACCCACATTTATGTGATGCTGTAGTCTGTGCTCTAGACTCCCAAATTGCCTGTGTCTCCACCCCATCCTCACCACATGAGACAGCACAAATTATCCACAGGACCACCATCAGTGGTGAAGACAGATCGTCTCGGGGGTGGGTCCTGCTTTGACACTAGCCAGCGGGGTGACTCCTAGGAGGACCCTTACATATCCTGCCTCTCAGGCCTATCATTTCTTCCATCACACAGTTGAAAGGCTGCCATGTCCACTCATCTGCTTTTGTTTCATTATCACGCACTCATGCAAGCAGTCAAACAGCATTCACGGACCAAAGAAGACCCTGAATAAGAATGAATATGCATGCATGTCTCCTATAGCACTCATATCTCTATTCTGACATAAGTGACGGTAGCCAAGTCTTTTGAGAAGATGCTCAGGGCCTACTTACTTTGGGTACCTAACAAGATTTCTTGTAGAACACAGATTAAACAACGATTTCATGTTCAGCATCTCTGTGAATGAATAACTCCAGAATGGTTATATGGAGGGTTCATTTCCGTGCAAGCTCATAAGATAAGAGTATGTGCTTATGATCAGGACAAACTGAAATCATAATAAGTGCTCTACTGAGAGGGGAGACTAGGCTCTAGGCTCCATGCAATAAGGATCCAGGTCTAATTTGTTCCACACAGGAACCACTGTACATAGGGAGTCACACAGACGTCAGTGGAGCTGACGGGCAAAGGAGAGACAGTAGCAGAGGATCTCAGGGAATGCCAGGGCAACGGGACATCCCTCTCAGACCGTTATTATGATGATTGGACCCAGCGTCAGCAACCCTAAATTGAAAATGCAAAATCCAAAATGATCCAAATCTGAAACATTTGGAGCCAACACAGCGAACTTCATATCATAAATGTTTATGTCATGAACAAACTTATTAAGACATCTCTTAAAACTGCCTTCAGATTATGTGTGGGGATATATATGAGACACAAATGAATGTTTTGTTTGTACTGCATCTGAACCCCGTCCCAGCTCACTATATATACACAAATATTCCGACCTGTGTCACAGCTCCGTGTCTGAAACACTGCTGAGTCCAACAATTTTGGATAAGTGATTTTATCCTGTATTTGAATCAGGACCATCTTTATTTTAGAGCAACAGATAAATAAATGTTTTCTGTCCAAATTTGCATGGCCCAGGGGACCAGGACTTCATGTTTGCACACAAAATGCTTTGTCAACTGTAACATCTACCCAGCTTTTCTTGAGATTAAAAAGAAAGTATTACTAATTTATTTATGATTTGTTAATGCATATAGGTATGTCTGTGTAGTGCAGTAGGTGCACACATGTTTTGGCAGTACACATGTCTGTGTACATGACAGCTAGAAGAGATCATGGGCGCTCTAGAGTGGGCGTTACTGGCAGTTTCTGGATTGTTATATGGATCCTAGGATCTGAACTCAGGTCCTCATGATTGCATAGACAGCGCTCTCAAATGATGAGCCATCTCTCCAGCAGTCTTGAGACATTTTGAATTTAGTTTTCCCATCTGAAGATTATGTGTAAGTGTGTGTGTGTGTGTGTGTGTGTGTGTGTGTGTGTGTGTGTGTGTGTGTGTGCGCGCGTGTGTGTGTTGGGGCTATGGATCATGGATGCTGGAGGTATGATACTGTGACAGTGCTGAGTCTTGTGTTATTGAGAGGACACCTGGATGCTGGGCTGCTTCTCACTCTTAAACATCAGTCTCTTTGCCCATCCATAATCCCCAAGGACTTAATGTTGTATTTCAAGAGGACAGAGAGGATCCAGTTGGAGAGATCTTTTCTGGATCGTTTATAATTTGCAGTATCTATAAGAACTTTGCTTTGGGTGCCCAGGAGAAAGATTCATAATCTATTACATTAGAAAGGACAGAAAGGAAATGTGTCTTGGACAGTTGCGTTCCAGGTCACCGTCTGCGAAGGAAATACGTTTTCCCACCAGTTTTAAGTCACCGATATTGGGTATGTTCAGGGAAGGAAACCAATGACCTGAAAAGGGAGCCGTGACTGCTAGTTAATCCGTTTAGCATATTCACTCCTTAATTTGATGGAGTCAGGGGTGGGTTCAGCCTCTCTGAAGGGCTTATCTCAGCATCCTAAAATCTTTAGTTCTCCAAAGCCCATGGTTCCTGAATCACTCTTATCAACTAATATTTCTCACTCCTCGAATTTCCATCTAGCATCACCATAGGTTGAGTTTCCAGCATCCTTCAGGGACTGGGTGTGTTTGTGCTAAAGCATCTTACCTGGGTGCAATACTGCTTCTCCAGCCGCTGGCTCTCCTTCTGTTTCTGGCAGGTCAGGGACACCACAGACACAATGGTGCTGTTGTAGTTCTCCTGGGAAGATGTCCACGACATCAAGGCTGTAGTTGAGCTTAAGACATGGACACTCACTTGTTGTGGTTTCTCAGTCAGTTCTTCAATCCACTCTCCTGAGGGACCTGGACATTGCAAATCACAACAAAAGGGAGTTTGTACCTTGACCTGGTTGAGACAGAAGATCCTAGATTTAATGGCTGTTATGTGTTTTGTTGTTGTTGTTGTTGTTGTTGTTGTTGTGTGTGTGCCTTTACAACAAGACTTAAAGAAAGACTATGGTGAACTTTCTTGCTCTGTCCCCACTCTGCCAGCTCTATAGGACTAAATTCTACCTTCTCCCCTCTGGCCCAAGCAATAATAGCAGCAGCAGCAACAACAACAATAAAAACAAGCTCAATTTCAGTTGTCAGGTACATCTGAGAATATTCCAGTGAAATCTTCATCAAAGAGAGGCTGTGACACAGTGGCATTTCATCAATCAATGTTTATAATTCCTTTGCTAGGAGGATCTTTTTAGAAATAATTGCTTTGAGATCCAAATCAGCCACTACCATAACCTTATGGAAACAAAGGAAACGAAACATTGCAGCAACAGAGATGGAGAGAAGGGCTGTGGCTCCATTAGTGAGATGGAAGGTGCTGAAGCCCTGGGTGATGTTTGAGGCGTGGGGAGGGGCTGCATTATGAAGTTCTCTGTGGAGGTGTCCATCTGGACCCTTTCATCTCCTTCGGCTACAGTCTCCCTCATATCTACAATAAACATTCTCAGTCTCCATCTCGCCCAGGAGTAGTCATGTCTGCCTTTTATTTCTTTCTCTCACTCAGCTTGCAATGTGGTATGTAAGGAGAGGAGGCTCCACAGAGGATGGAGAGCAGACTCTGTGTAAATGGTGTGAGTGAAACAATACTGTTAAAGTGACGTGAAGACAAAGAGATACGTCCTTTACAACCAGGCTCTGTTTCAGATACTTTCATATTTTAGTCCTTAATTCTTAGCACAAATCAATGAGAAAAGCATTGGGCTTAAACCTCAAGTTTAGATTAAAAGACTATGGCAGATAGGGTAAGAAAACTCATGATTTACAAAAGTGAAGGCTGACTTTAAAACCCCATGCTTCTAGGGAGTGGGAGTTGGATTTGATCAAAATGTTTTATACACTTGCATGAAATGCTCAAACAGTGAATTTTAAAACTCCACCATCTTAACCATGCATATGGCTCCCTGGATCCATAAAACATGTTGGCTAGTAATTTGCCCAAGGTTCTTTCTTATTTTCTCATTATCAATGGAACAATTTCCTGCAAGCGATTCAATGACTCTGAAACTTGGTTACAGTGTGTGTGAATGGACCACAGGGAACATGAGGAGAGGAGAGGAGAGGAGAGGACAGGACAGGAGAGGAGAGGAGAGGGGGGGAGAGGAGAGGAGAGGAGAGGAGAGGAGAGGAGAGAAGAGAACCTTGGTGGACTCGGGGTGTTACTCAGTTGGCTGACTGACTGCATAGACTGCACAAAGCCCTGGGTTTGATACGGTCTTAGTTAGGGTTTCTATTGCTACAACAAAACATCATGACCCAAAAGCAAGTTGGAGAGCAAAGAGTTTATTTCCTAATCATAGTCTATCATTGGAGGAAGTCAGAAAGGAACTCAAACAGGGCAGGATCCTAGAGGAAGGAGCTGATGCAGAGGCCATGGAGGGGAGTTGTTTACTGGCTTGCTCCATGTGGTTTGCTCAGCCTGTTTTCTTATAGAACCCAGGACCACCAGCCCGGAGGTATCCCCACCCACCATTGGTTGGGGTCTTCCCCACTGATCACTAGTTAAGAAAATTCCTTACAACTGAAACTTGTGAAAGTGTCTCCTCAGCTGAGGCTTCTTCCTTTCTGTGACTCTAACTTGTGTCCAAGTTGTCACACAAAACCAGCCATTACAGATACCCAGCATCCCATAAACTGGGTGTGGTGGTGTACACCTTTAATTCTAGCACTTGAAAGGTAAAGGCAAGAGCACCACGGAATTCAAGATCCTCTTTAGCTACATAGTGGGTTCGAGGTTAGCCTGAGTTAGCTACATGAGACTCTTCTCAAAAACTAAATACATGCATAGCTAAATATAAATAAAAAATAAGAGATCAAATGCCTTAACTTATTAATAAGGAAATTGAATCCCAGACACTCAGATGCTTTGCCCAATGTCATGGAGACAGTGTGTGTTTGGATGTGACAACACAGTTGACCCTAAGGTAAGCGACACTGCCTGTGCCATGAAAATGACATCATCAGAGAACCTTAAATTCCACTTTTGTTCTCAACACATGTAAAAGTCACAGATTCATTTTCTGTGACTCAGAATTTTTAATGTTAAAAATGGGAATGACAGACATGTCCTTCTAAGCTAGGCATGGCAGACAAACTTCTGAACCCTGGCTACTCTGGAGGGCCAGGAAGACAAGTGGCAAGATCAAGGCCCATTTGGGCTCTATTAGGAGCTCAAAGTCAGGCTGTGTGGGTTAGTGATCCTGTCTTAAAATACAAATATAAAAAGACACTGAGGATGTAGTACAGTGATAGAGTGTTTGACTGTCATACACAAGGATTTGGGTTAAGTCCCTGGCACTGAAAACAAACATTCTCTTGGTAAGACCATGGGGGCTGAGGTAAGGATGAACTAACATTCTCATCTATAGGTTCCAGTCCTACACAAATGTAAATGATAACACAGTGACATGTACATACATCTAAATGTTATTAATCTCATTAGAATGGATGGAAAACATTATTTAGCTAGTGTTTACTCATCAACCCAAGTATAAGTGTTGTATCTACAGCTCGGTATATATATATTTTTAAACCAAAGAAGTATATTCATGGTCACTGGCAACTATGCAATTAAACAGAATATTCTAAGCATGTAAAATATTACCCTTTCATTGACAAAGGAAAATTTTCATACAAGTATTAAAATAAATCTCTGTGAAATATTCATGTGTATGAACAACATTGTTGAGTTTTCAGTGGCACTTTGGGTCTTGTTAAGAAGACAGCTGAAGGCCAGAGAGGTGGCTCAGAAGGAAAGACACTTTTGGGGAAGTCTAATGGCCTAAGTTTGATCCTTGGTCCTGCATGGTAGAAGGAGAGAACTGATCCCCTCCCGTTCTCCCCTGATTCCACAAGTGCATGTGGTGTGCATGTATGTCCCCCACCCCCACCACACACAGAACAACGAGTTTGTAATCTCCTGAAGAATAAGAATATATGACAAAATCCAGATAAATCTTACATACTGTGAGATTCCCACTTGGAACCCACTTGAAGCTCTAAGAAAGAAAGGCCAACATGGCTGTCACCCTTCACTGAGTTCTCATGGCAGCCATCAGCACCTGCTGTGTGCTCTTGGGCAAGGTGACTTCCTGGTGAGCAAAGCACATTGGGACTCCTGGGAAGGCTGAAGCCTCATCTTGGTGCTCTGTCTCGGGTGATCTCATAGGGAAATATTTTCTATTCTGATACACACACCAGGTGATTCCCAACGTCCTTGGGTACCTTTGAAGACACTAGAGGCCTCTCAGTGGTGACATGCTTCATTCCTTAAGTGAGAACTTTATGTGGGAATATTTTTAATGTGTTTAAACTGATAAGTGAGCAGAGCTCCTGTCTCTGCCTGCCTACTTTTTGAAGGTTATCTGAGGCAAGGTAGCATTTGGGCCTTTGGGAAGAGGACGGATGTTATACAGACTATTGCTTTTGGACAGCTTCCTTTAATCTGTGTTCTCTGATTTTGATTTTTGCTAATATAAAGGTATGCATAACGTCTGATAAGCTAAGCAACTGAATTTTAACCCTTGGACCTCCAGTAACCACTGTTTATCTATCTAAAGAAGAAATGGACACTCGTATCGTTGATGCGGTTCCGAGAACCCCACTTTTGCTCTATTGTCAAAACTCATGGAATACCTAGATGCCTCCCCCTCACCCCACTCTCGGGCCTTGAGGACACTCTGCCTTCTCCTGCCAGCTGTGTGGAGACCTCGAAGACTTGAATCAACCTGAATTTTTTTGAGTTCTCTACAAGATCAGTACCCTAATAAGATTTTCCCCACATAATCCTATGATGCTAAATTTCATTACAGCCTCAAATGAAAGTCATAGTTCCCAAATCATATGTGCACATCCTTGGAGACATGGTTATAGCTGGTGTGGAAGGTCAGTTTAATAAATGTTTAGTTATCACAACAGTGGCACAGAAAAAAAAATCTCAACTAACTAACTCCTGGGGTAGATTTTCTACCATTAAGCATACATCTATTTCCTTTCATGCATACTGGCCTCTCCTGACCTTGAGGAATCCCCAGGATCCCCCAGGCTGGTGAATAATTGACACCCAGGCATCATTAATCTCAGCAGTACCATAGTTTTATCTCCTCAGTAAGTGCAGGGTCATCCCTCAGCTACTTACTGATGTAAAAGCTGAGTGACTTTGCTGACTGGCTTTTCCGAGTCTCACAGGATCCTGAGGAACTAAAGGTTGTCACAGAGAGTTTATATTTCCCAGGCTCCTTCAGTTCTGCAACAAATTCATGGGCTTCTTCATCCACGGTCAAATAGTCAGTAAAGTTCTCTGGATGAAATGCAAAAAAGCAAACTGATTAAGTTGGTAAAATTTATTATTGCATTTCTTTCTTTTTTCCAAGTTCAACCACACTTCCAAAATGAAGGCACTGTAAATGGAAAAGTCAACTGAAATTCAAATTGTCTTCATAATACTTTTAAAATATCAGACCTAAAATATAGTGCCCAAATCCACCACACGGATGCGTGGTGTTCGACACACACCCGCCTAACAGAATCGTGTCCCCAAGAGTTCACTGCCCTCCTTCCTCCATGGTTTCTGTAAAAGACAAGAAATAACTAGTGCTCGCTAAGTGCCTTACAAGTTCCTTGCAGCACCAAATGATTTTTAAAATATTGATTTACTTCTAGTTTAAAAGACACATCACTTTCTCCCCTTCACCTCTTTGCTCCAGCAGTGTGAAAGGTACTATTTATTCTAAGCTGCCTCTGTGTCCGCCTCCTGCTACTTATTATTTCTTTTGAAGCTGTTACTGTTATTTGGCAACAACAGTCTCCAAAAAAATACAAAACACAGTATAGTCAGATAACTACATGATTGAATCGAACTTCTTTGCAAATAGGCAGGAAAAAGTGTTTGGAGTGACAAGATGCACTGTTCCGTATAGTAAACTGGGAAGCAGAGAAACAAAAAGGGAAATGGACTTTAAAAACAAGTAAGCAACTCAGTCAAAGGAAGACGCTAAACCTAAACACCAAAGTGACCAACAGTTTCAACTTTAGGCTCTAGTAGAGTGTTGATGACTACCACAGTCTAGAATAAAGAATGAAGAGATATTTTGTCTCATTTTGTTAACTAAAAGTCAACCAGCTTCCACAAGAAGGCAACGTGAATTCTGAAGTCCCACCATAAAATGAAGGCTGCCATTCTAACTGGGAATTTCGATGACTTGACAGCTTTTGCCATCTAAATACTAGACAGGAAAATAGAAATGACACAAGCTCTTGCTAAGACGTAACAAGCAACAAAGAACATGAAAAACCTGGTGATCAACAATGGAGCTATGCAGTGGTTCTTTCTCTTTTCATACATTAATATAATATAATATATGAATCTGGGTGGGCGTGGCAGCACACACGTTATCATTTCACTTGGAGGTGAAGGCATGAAGGCCAGAAACACAGGATCATCCTCAGCTCCACAAGCCTGAACTATATGAGACTCTGTCTCAAAAAAATAGCATGTGTGCGTGCACACACACACATACACACACACACACACACACACACACACACAGTGTCTTACAGGCACACATATACACATATACTCTCTCTCACATATATGTATAATTAAATATATATATTTAATTTCAGTGATGGATGAAATCAAAGCATAGTGCACTGACAATGGTGGGGATATTATCTCCTGCTTATTTTCCATTTACTACCAACTTTTTGGGGAAAATTTGATCACCAGATCCCAAGGCCAGATTCCATCTTACTCAAGCTGGCCAAGGAGCACGTACACCTGGAAGAAGTAGTCACTTTGTATGTCTCTCAAATATGCATATAAGCAAACAACATTTATTATGATTAGTCTATATTATGTTTGGTGGTCCTATTTTTAGTTCAGAGTATTTCTGAATATAAGGTCTTCTTTAGTGACCCGTGAAGTACTGGGCAGAGAGTTGGGAAAGACTTACATGCTGTAACTTGAAAATGACCTAAATATTAAAATTCTAATCTAATGTCTATATATTTTGTTTTCTACTTTCAGGCCATACAGAATAGTCAGTTAAAGTCTCCCTTTGTGTGTGTCATCTCCCTCCCTGAGTTCAGGTTTCAAAAACACTTCGGGTCCCTTCCTTGGCGCCATTTACTTCCTCTAGCTGCCCACCGCTCACCTTCCCTCTCTATGAGGATATTGAACCCATCGAAGGCTGTAGGCGGTTTTGGTGGTAGCCAGCTCAGTGTCATCTGCACGGGGAAGGCAGAGAAAGGGTCAGACGTGGGCTTCTCTGTCCTGCTGAGTGTGGTGTCGCTGTCATAGTCCACCACGGGCAGCACACTGACAAAGTCCTCCTCGTTTTCAGGGGTTGCCGAAGAACTGTCCCACCAGTAGGGTTGAGAAGTGCTTTCATAGTCGGTGCTGTTTGGGTCAGGCCAACCGGAAGACACGTTGCTGGGGGGAGTCCCTGGAGTTTCTTCGGGGAAATGGAAGAGTCTGTCCCTTCTGATTGAATCTTGTGGTTTGATGAAGGAGTCCTCGGGGAAGCTTCCGCTTGGCTCTTCCCAGTTGTTCTTGTTCAAGTTGACAAAGCGAACAGAGATGTTTCGAGGAGGATACGGAGCTGTGGAAGAGAGTTTTCATTTTTAAGGAGCTTTTAACTCTGAACCAAATGTTTATTTACTCTTGAGTCCGACACACAGACTTACCAAGTACAGTTTAGCTTTACTTTTAATACACAGAAGAAAATAAAATTAAAACGTGTCTGTGTGTGTGTGTGTGTGTGTGTGTGTGTGTGTGTGTGTGTGTGTGTAAACATGCCACATTTGGAGATAGAGGATAATTTGAAAAAGTTGGATGTCTCCTTCTACCATGTGGATTTGGGAGATCTAACTCAGGTGGCTAGGGTGGGTGCCAAGTACCTCTATCGGCTCTGCCTCTGGACAGCCCAGAGAAAGTATGATGAAGAAAAATTATGGTTTTTCAGCAATCATATATAAACTTCTAGCATTTTGTACATATTACATACATTTATTTATCTCTCTCAGCATCTCACTAGTCCCATTGCAAATGTGTTAATTTGTGATACTGTACATGTTGCTGTGGTAATTGAACTTCTCAAGCATAGTTATGTAAATATTCTTTCCTTTACCGCAATCAGACTTTAAGAAAACACGTCTCTGTCCCTGAGTATCTTTAAAAAACATCCATATAATTTGCTATTGGAATATACATCCCCGTCTTTGAAAGGAAGCAAAATGCACACAGGAACTATGGATTATGGAAACATGCTTTCTCTATGGATAGCGAGTCACAAAGACAGCTGGTACATCCTCTGCCTGCAACACCTTCTAGCTGCCCATCAGATGGCTCCTCGGATTCCCTCTCCACAGACTTTCAGGAAGAGATTCATCCCCACTCCTTTGTATCGTTAAATGTCTTCATGGCTTTTTGGTGACACGGGTCTCATTCTGCCTTAGGTCATTGCCCTTTGTGTCAGATGACACCATTTCTGAGGACAGACTACCTGACTCATTGGTTCTCATTTTTCATCTTTCTTAGAATTAAGACAATGTCCAGAATAAAAAGAGTAGTCGTCAATGTGTCTTTACCAGTACAGAAGATGAAAAGTACAAATCGAGTTGTCAGTGTCAGCATAAGGTGAATTATTTGTTAAGACCTTCCTGTCTTGATGAAATTAATCCTGACACAGAATTCCAGACAGAAAGGGTCTGGTGAGCTCTGTCCTGATGAATCCCCATCCTCATGAGAATGGGCTCTCCAGCCTTATTGAACACATTAGATACACTCAATACTGATTAAGTGAGGGATATTTGGTAGTACGTAATTTATGCTTTCATTCCTCTGGCCATCAAGTCATACCATCACAGGTTTTCTGCATTTCTTTTTTTAATGGTTTGGGAATTTCATACATGTACACAGTATATTTTGATTATATCTACCCAGGTTCTTGGCTCCAAGGCTTCTCTTACTCCACAATAGTTTTTCATATTCCTGATGCTCCTAAGACTAATTAGTACTGAGAGCTTTAGGCATACCTGATGCTAATATTTTCTTTCAATCATCAATTACCTATCTATACTAGGATGTCTGCCATCTGCTTTTCTTCTACGTGGACACTGGTCAAGGTATAGAATAAGCAAAATCTACCAGACCCAGTTAAGTGACTTGATGATAACTTTTAAGGCTACCATCCATATTTTTATTCAAGAATATAAAAATTATTTATTTACTTTAGATTTTTCCTATTGACTATTTTGCTTAGATATCTTTAATATAGATACAAATTTTGTTTTGGTAGACAAAATAGTTCCTAGAAATATTAAGAATTTTTTTCCTTAGAAGCATTAAAATTAAATATACAGCAGCATCAAATGTAGCTATTGTCTGGTGAAGTTTGGTTCCTCTGAAAACTTACCCGTTCGGTGGTGTTTGGGTTCGTGGCTCACACCACTGTACTCCACAAGAGTACTTTTATTAAAAGTTGCCTCAGATACCAGCTGGAAGGTGATGTTGCTGTAACATATCCCTGGGAGCCAGTGATTAAATACTGTTTTCCCCTTAAAGAAGTCTGTGAAGGGAAAGATCAGTTACGTTAAAATTAGGCGCTTCTTAATGTCACATGCTTGGAGAAAGTCCCAGTTAAATTTAAATATCCACAAAATAACATTTCCTTCAAAGTCTGGCATCGTCAGTAAAAAAGAATTGGAGAGCTAGAGATGAAAATTTGAACCTGTGCCCCTAATCCTGAAAAGTCTTTTTTTCTTCCTGTCGGCATTCCTAACACGATTTGACACAATTAAAATGAATTTTTCAACCTATGAGTGTTCTGTGTATGCAGGAATTATGGGGATAAGGTTTATGTTAGCTCTTTATTAAGAGAAAGAACAAGTATTTTGCCACTTGATGACAAAAGAAACAGCAAATGTACAAGGAAGGGTTTTTCTCCTGTAGAAAGTGTCTTATGTGGTCTCACAGGAACCCAAAATACCACATTTTGCTTTTGAGAATGATCTTGTACCCTCTCTGCCCACTTGCTATAGAAGCCCAGAGGGAAGCACTGTGGGTGCAGTTGTCTCTACATCATCTTGACTTTATTTCCTGGAGCAGATACATCACCTTTGGCAAGAATAACTTCTAATCCAGAGCACTTTGAGACTTTCTCATGTTGTATGCCTGGCTTGCGTTTCTCAATGCGTGAGCAGGATGTGGTAGGACTCTTCACAACAAGACTTGCTTGAATTGATAACTTTTTCTTAATGGTTCATTCATGGGTCAAGTAGTGAATTACAAAGCCTCCTTAGAGTGAGCAAGATCACCCAGAAAAAAGTCTGCAAAAAATTAACAGCCGCCATTTCTCCAGCCTTCTCCAGCCTCTGTCTTACCTTTGTACAGCATAGTCCTGAAGTCTCTCCCTTCCCAATAGCTGATGTTCACTCTGCTGAATACGTTGTATTTTTCCGGATAGTGAATTTCAAACAGTACCCCTGTTTCAGGAGAAGGTTTATAGTCGTATATGGAGACACTGGTTACAGGCAAAGGTTCTACAGGGGGAGAGAGAGAGAGGCGGGGCCATCATTAATCCATGAACCTCCAGTTGTTCTAATGCAATCTTACTCCCACTTTTACAGTTATGCTTCCTCCACGAGGCATTCCTCTTAGCCTCAGCAGTAATTAACAAAGCACGTTTTAGGTGACCTTTTCTGCCTCTCAAATAGCTCTCAGACTCATGTTTCAATTTCTCACTTGCAGCAGCTTTGGAGGTTAAGACGCACAAATATTAATGACTCAATTCAATGGACAAATATAATGCCAACCCGGAGTTTATATTGCTTGTCATGTGCAATTTAATAGGTTTTGTGGCAGCATCTGTCTGTATCAGCAAATTCTTCACTCATTTTCCTCTTCCTTGTGCCAACAAAATTAGATATCAGTAGTAGACAGGTAACAAAAGGTAGTTTTTGGCTGTAGGCAACGATAAATATTTATGTGATCATTTATTTCTTTGTGTGAATTTTCCAGGTTTTCTGTTATGGATAAGAGTGCAAACTACTTGGTGTTATGCATATGATCATTTATATTATGTATACTAAGCTTCTCTACAGAAGCACAAGAATATTCTTAATTTGTTTGGGCTTAATTTATCATGAAACATTAAAAGTACACATTTTAAAAATCCCATGATTTGCTTTTTATATGTCTTATACACACCAGGTTTACATGAATAGTTTCTCCACACTTCCAAAAGACCTAGCAGAGATATTTTATTTGAATAATTTTTTTTGTTTTTGTTTTTCAAGACAGGGTTTCCCTGTGGCTTTGGAGGCTGTCCTGGAACTAGCTCTTGTAGACCAGGCTGGTCTCGAACTCACAGAGATCCACCTGCCTCTGCCTCCCAAGTGCTGGGATTAAAGGCGTGCGCCACCACCACCCAGTTATTTGAATAATTTTATAAGAAAGTTATTATAAGGGCTAGAGTGCAAAACAGCACTGTGACAACCACTTACGTTTTAAGATCTATTTTCTTATATGTAAATTTCACATATTTAAATAAGAATCAAGGAAAATTCAGACATTTAAATCTACTTTTTCATTCATTCTGGTTTTGCTTCCACAAATAACACATGAAGTCTAATATAGACTTATTTTCTAAGATATTACTATAATTAAAGACTATTCAAAAAAAAAAAAAGAGTTGTCATGGTCATGCTGCCTCTTCACAGCAATAGAAACCCTAACTAAGACAGGACATAACACAGAAACCCACAACTGGACGATGACTACAGAGTGAGAAAAGCCTTGGAGGATTCAGTCCTAAATGGGAAGTCTTTGTCAAACCCTTCTCCTGATTGCCCAGGGATCTATGCAGAAGAAAAGGCAGAAAGATTGTAAGAGCCGGAGGTGACAGATGACTCCAAGGAAACAGCATCTTCCAGATGCAGCAGTGCCGATGAGCTTTCGCATTGACAGAGACTGTGACAGCGTGCACAGGGCTTGTATAGGTTCAAGCCAAAGGGGTCCCAGCCCTGAGACGAGGAAGTGGGCAGAGTCCCACCACTAACAAGGAGCTATTTGCAAATGATATCTGCTGGGAAAGGGGAATTCATTTTCTCCAGTGACTATAACTGGGTATATCAACCACACTGGGCAGGCCCCATACAAGGAAATCCTTGGCCGACACAAAACAGAGTCTGTAATTTTGTTTGTTTCATTTATTTTGGTGGTTTTTTCTTACTGTTTTATTTTTGTTTGTTTTGCTTTGTTTTTTTAGAGAGAAGGAGAAAAAACAGAAAGTTGGTGCTGGTTGAGAGGTGGAGCTTATGCTCAGGTTTTTCACTTCTGATGCAGTTCAGTCTTTTTCCCCTCTCAGCTACCGCGGCTGTCAGTCGTTCTGGGAGCCCTGGTACTGTGAATGCCGGGGTGCTTGTCCTAGACTTACCATGTCCTGTGGTGAGGCTTAGTCTTGGCACTGAGATTGGCTATGTGCCCCAGCCCAACTGTTCCTGGTCTGGGATGGCACATTTTGATCCCTTTGCTAACTGGAGCCCAAACTCAGGACCAGCTGTTTGTACCTGGGGCACAGAGAGTACAGTAAGGCCCCGCCCCCACTCCACTGGAGTTTCAGTTTCTTTTATGACTTGGAGACAAGTGTGCGCTGGAACTTGGTCCTATGCCCCTCACTTTCTTTTGGTTTTATGGAAAGAGCAAAACATAGATGACTTGCAACCCCAATATTAATCGGACTTTGTCTTGCTTTTAATAAGTAATAAAAAATGATACACAATAAGGGCTTACTTTTTTCTAATTAGATGTTTGACATAATCTTAAATAATGTTTAGATTTAAGACATTTCATGTTCCTCAGTTCTTGTCTTTAAGCCATTCACAGTAATCAGGAAGGAAACTGGTGTGTGGAGGCATGCCAGAGGGGTTTAAATTTTACTTTCCAGCAGGCAGCACCAGCACATACAACAGTAGGCCTTCTCTGCAGGCCACACATTCACAGATGTTTTATTCTCAGTGAGAAAGTTACAGGCCCAGTGTGTATTCTCTGTAACCACACCTACTTCACGGTGTCAACAGGCACTGTGACTGTGTCCAGTTGTTGGAGATCTGAAGGTTCTGGATGTGGTTGTCAGAGTGGACAAAGGGCAAGAAGCCCAGATAGCTCACGCTTGAGAGTAACTGCTGACACTAGAGGCCCACCTTCCTGAGATGGCTCTGCTTTGTCTCACTAAAATCTAAGGAAGCAACTGGGGAAGGATCCAGCCCTCGGTGGGACTAGACCTAAGCACCTGTCTATCCTGGTGCAGTTCTCTTGTGGAAGAGAACTGTCCTTTCTCGTGGCAGACATGGGGCAAAGACTGATCCTGAATCCCAAGCCCAAGCTGCTGCTTCATGTCTAGAAGATGATTACAGACCGGATCTGTGTGCATCTAGATGGATCCCTGAGGTATGTAGGCAACAGTCACCTAGGATACAGGAGGGGTGGGAACCATCACAGCCACCGCCTTAGTTCATGGCCACAGCGTTTTATTTTTTTTCCATAGAACATTTTAGCAGCTTTCTGGGTTAGTGTTCCCCTCTTGTCTCACTTTCAATTTCGTTTCTTCTCAGCACACGTTAAGCCCAGAAGTCACTCGATATTAACACTTCAGTCAGCATCTCTGTCACAAAAAGCCACCCAGACCTCAGTAACTTTTCCCTCCTCAATCAGTTTCAATTTCCTTCTGTTCCCGATGCCTCGACTAATTTTCTGCCTAATGCCATTGCTTTTATTTGTCGGTCATACATTATGTCTTACATAGTCTGTTGATTTTGTATTATTAGAGTGAGAAAGACACATAATTTTATATATTGCTAAAATGTGTGCATTAAAAAAAAAACAGTACCTAGTAGTCACTATTATTATATAGGGTAGCAATAGATTAGTCTGGCCACCACAACTTACTAAGCTAAATCTGAACTGCGATCTGTTTTTGTAAATCTCAGGAGACAGGAGTGGGGTTTTCATTTTTAAGAGGTTGATGGGAATCAAAGAAATAGTATTTGCAGCTATAGCAAGGTTACCCAGGACTTTGTAGAAAAGGGGTTGTCCTCCAGAATGGGTGACATATCTGAAAACAGACTTAGAGGGAATTCGCTTCTGCTCAAGGTTGCACAGACGACTCCCGGATGTCTTTGGCAGTGTGCTCAGGCTTTGAGTCACTACTCTATATTGCTGCTTGGTAATTGCCCATTGTCCAAGCAAGAGTGACATCTTTCAGCCTTGGGTTCTGCTACAGGAGAACTTTTCCCAGGAAAGTCACCTTCTGTCATTTCTTAGATCTGTCTTCATTCTTCATCATGTAAAGTCTCAACTCACTTGCAGGGAACTTCAAATCCCTCCCTATATTTCTGGCCATCTTCCATGAATTATTTTTGGAGCACCCGTCAGCAAGTACTGTTGAACAATTTGGTCATGCTTGATTAAAGGAATTTTTTTTTTTTTGGTTTTTTAAAAAAGGTTTTTTCTTTGTAGCTTTGTGGACCAGGCTGGCCTTGAATTCACAGAGATCATCCTGCCTCTGCCTCCCGAGTGCTGGGATTAAAGGCATGCACCACCACCACCTGGTGATTAAAGGTATTTTTATGTATCATTATTTTTTCTGGTACCTCAGTCATGACGAAGAATATGCTCAATCAATAGAATTAAATAAATCAGTTATTTATACTCAAAATAGAGGCAGATGACTCATAAACCAGTGGGCTTGTTCCATGTGTCTTCTGCAACCTTGACAGCCACCATTTCTAAGTCTGGCCTAACACAGGAACCAATTGCCTGTGTCTGGCATTTTCCCAGTTCCTAAGCAATTGTTCCTAGGTATTATGTTTTTTCTGCCTAGAAATGGCCTCTTTCTCCTGAGGAGCTCACATTAATACTGACCCATCATCTTCAGTTAAATATTAACTGGGTGTCAGAGCCCGAAGGCTGCAGGGCTCTTTTGAACTGGTCACATGAGTTCGTTATGCCCAGTTTATTCTTTGCCTTTTCCCTCTACCCCCGACTTTCTGTGAGCTCCTGACTCAGAACAGCTGTATCAAAAAATCCAAGTGCTGTCCCTGGGCCTCCTGCTCCGTCATTGCTTCTTCCATCCTGATAGGCTCAAGTGTGGCTGATGAGTGCAACAAATGCCCCTTTTATCCTCAAAGCAGTGTGTCAGCCCTGGGAGCAGGTACCACAAATGCTTCAGAAACGTAAAACTTTAAAGTGGGAAGATGGTGGGGTATGAATCAGGAGCTCATTAATAATGAGAGTTTTGAGGTCAAAATTATCCTTGGTCATTGTGTTATTAAGTTCTCTCTTTTGTGAAACACAACCAATACCACCTGATGCTCCTTCAAGTCTAATGCCAAATTATTTGCACCTTTATATATAATTCTCATATTCTCATTATCGTCTCTTCTGGAATCTGAGGTGGTGTATTTAAGCATTTAAAAGGGGGCACAGTACTGCTGGAGAGATGGCTCAGTCGACTGTGTTTGATCCCTGGAACCCATATTAAAAGCCCAGAGTGGGGACTGGGGTGATGGCTCAGTGGATAAAGGTGCTTGTTGCCAAGCCTGAGGTCTTGGATTTAATCCCTGCAGCTCACATGAAAGAGAAAATATATTCTTGTAAGTTGTCTTCTGACCTCTAGATGTGTGTCCTTACATGTGCCTGTACACACACACACACACACACACACACACACACACACACACAAATGAATGTAAAAACAAAACACAAAGTCAAAGATGACAGTACATGGTTGCAATCTCAGTGCTAGTGACGTGGAGAAAAGTTGATTCCTGGAGCTTACTTCCTAACCAGAATAGTGGAATAGGAAAGGTCCAAGCCAACAAGAGACCCTGTCTCAAAATTAACATGAATAGTGTTCCTGAGGATAACACGAAGACAGCCCTCTGGTCTTCACAGGTTTACATGCGCACATGTAACCACATGTAATAGTTGATCGAACCTCACTTGGTACCTCATTTGTGTTACAGGATATTTGTTTACACTGTGTGAAGATGTCTTGTTGTGATTGGTTTAATAAAAAGACGAGTGACCAATGGCTAGGCAGGAGAGAATAAATAGGTGGGACTTCTGGGGAGAGGAAGGAATTCTGGGAAGTAAAGTGGGGAGATGAAAGAGACCCATGGAACAAGTCCTCTGTACAGAATAGAGAGAGGTAAAAGCCATGTGGCAGAATGTAGATTAATAAAAGCAGGTTAATTTAATTTATAAGAACCAGTTGGGAACAAGCCTAAGCTAAAGGCCAAACTTTCATAATTGTTAACAAGTCTCTGTGTCGTTATTTGGAGCTGGTGGCAGAAAAGAAAATCTAACTACACATCTGTATGTCTTTTTTCACTTTTTTTTTCTTGCTTTTTAAGAAATACAGTCTTATGTAGCCCAAGTTAGCCTTGTATTTGACATGTAGTAGAGGATAATGTTGAAATCCTTATGCTCCTGTCCTGCTGTGCCAAGTGTTGGGATGCTGGGATTACAGGTGTGACTGGTTTTCAAATTTCTTTAGTAACTGTCAGCTGAAGGGTTATAGCTTCCGACTTGACTTCTTTGGAGTGTCTGTGTACTTCCTAAGAAATGTTGGGACAGAGCAGGTTTCATATTCTACATCCTATTTTGCACAATACTTTAGTGTCTCCTCCCCTGACTCTTTCCTAGTCATGCTCAACTACTTCAAGCTAAGCTATATGGAACAACTATTAAATCCCAGGCAGGAGCTTATGGAAGGATGAAGCTGTGTAAAGCAGAATGTTGACTTCAAAGAGTTGGTTGTCATTTGATGCACCCACAGCTACAGCCCAAGTCTCAGCCAGATTCGTCTTTTCCTGGAACCTAAGACAGGTTTTTAGAGGTGAGATTTCATTTTAATTGAATTAATTTCCAGCTCTTTCCTTTAGCTCCATTAGCCTTGCAGGTCTTGGGTCTGTGCCATTGTTAATTTTCAGAATTTAATAATGACCCTGGGATTCTGCCAATGAGACTTTAATTAATTTTTGACACTAGGGTTAAAAATAGTCCCCTAGCTTGCTTTTGAGTTCTTTCTACTGATTGTTTCTCTTTTCTTTTTATCCTAACAGACCCCATCACACTGTACTTTTCTTTAATCATGTCCACAATGGTCACATATAACTGACAATTTAATGGTGGCAGTGATTAAAGCTTACACTGAAGTGCATGAGCAAATGGAACTTTGATGAAGCATTCAATTGTTCTAATGGCAAACCTTTGTCTCACAGAGATCGCTTTTCTGTGTACTCTGTAATATGTCACCTTATGATGTGACGCTAAAGTCAGAGAACATGATGAAAATCACCTACAGTTAAAACCATCACTACAAACTTACCAATGCAACAGCAACCCTCTATTACATTTTATCTTCCTGCATTTTTTCTTGGGCAGTGGGAACCAAGGCTGTGTTTAAGGTGAAATGAGGAATGGTAGCTGTTGTCTGTGTGTGCCTCTAATTCCAGCACTTGGAAGGCTGAGTAAGAAACATTGAAAGGTTGGGGCCAGCCCAGGCTACATAGCAAGACCCTGATTAATAACAAAGAACAAAAAATCAGCCATATTTTTATGTCCTCCGCTAAGAATGTCCAAATACGGTCAAGTCAGCTGACTATGAATACACACTCACTGTCTCAAGAACTAATTGCTTTGGATGAGAATATATATGTTCTGGGACAAGACACAACAATATAAGATTTAAGTTATGTGGAAGAAATTTGCATAATGAAGTCATTAACCTGATATTATCATTCCGTCTCAAAGTATATTGTCAATGAAGTTTGCTTTTTTCCCTATAAAACAGATTTTTAAAAAAGTAATAGTGAAAAGAAAAAAAAAGTAACAGTGAATGTGATCAAACTTGGATACTATATTACCCAAACTTTTCTTAATATAAGGGAGAGTGTTGAGCTATGTCATTGGACTCCAAGCTAAACACTCTTGACATTCTGGTGAAGTCTGCTTCAGCCATAGACTGATGAGGACACCCTCAGAGGAGGAGCACAGAGAATGACGCCATAGGGTGCTTACTTGTCAACACGGTGACTGATCTGGAGGGTTTGGTGACCACATTCCCGTTGACCACCACCAGAGAGATGATGTAATAGAGACCATGATAAGTGGCCTTAAAGACCACAGGCGGAGGCAACGTGCTGTTGAATTCCTCAAATTCGAAGAAATAGTTTTTGGACTCGCCAGCTACCCTCACCACATAGACGGAGGCCGGGCTGACGATATCGGAAGCTTCTAAAGACACAGTGATGTTGTTGTCATCTTGCACAGTCACGTGCAACGTTGTAACAATCTATTCAAGAGAAAGACAAGAGGTAGAAGTCAGAGTCAGGCGATGGATCATAAATCATGCTGAGATAATTTTTGCAAGATGAACAAACGGTGAGTGTGGTTATGATAGCTATAGGTATTTTAGTCACACAACCAAAGTCAGTTTGCCCATCTCATGAAAAATGATCTCAGAGTTTTACAACGAACATTTGATATTCCATTGAAAATGTGTCTTGAGCTCCCGGAGTATTTAATGTGAAAAGCACACAATACACATCAGATGGATGAAGAAATGACAAATGAAGTCACTGTCATAGTTAATTTCCAGGGAAGATCTGTGTTCTGATAAGTGGGCGACGTGTTTGAGCAAACACTATTTTAGAGGAAGCCTTTTTGATGTAATTATTTCCTTTCTTTTGCTCACCTGTCAATTCTGTAAGTGGGGAAGATATCAGGACAGAACCCTGGGAAGATAATTCTTTTCATTACAAATTAGCCAGCCCTTAAGCACAGAAATCCTGGTAAGATGGAAAAGCGACCATATGCACAGCCATGGGTGCCTAAAATCATTCCTTCAAATCTTCAGGTAAGTTCAGGGGTCGGGGATATCGCTCAGCTGGCAGAGTGCTTAGCTCGCATTCATGTAACCTGAGTCAGTCCTAAGTACCACATACACACACATGGAAGTTACTAGCTGGAGGAACACTTTAGGAGAGATGTCTGGGGACACATGGCTCAGGAGAGACAGCTCAGCGACTAAGAGCATTCACGGCTCTATTGTGAGAACTGGAATTCCATTCCCAGAACCCATGCAGTGCAGCACTCAGCTGCCCCTAACTCCAGCTCCAAAACACAGCTGCATGCACACACAGACACAGCACACACACACACACACACACACACACACACACACACACACAAGAAACCTTTAAAAATGTGTAAAGGAGATGGGCGATGGTGGTGCACACATTTAATCCCAGCACTCGGGAGGTAGAGGTAGATCTCTGAATTGTAAGCCAGCTTGGTCTACAGAGCGAGTTCTAGGACAGGCTCAAAAGCTACAGAGAAACCCTGTCTCAGAAAACCGAAGAAGAAGAAGAAGAAGAAGAAGAAGAAGAAGAAGAAGAAGGAAACAAGAAGAAAAAGAAAAGAAAAATGTGTAAAGGATGTTTGAAAAATCATTTGTATAGTTGGCCTGAATGTCCATTCTTGATTCTGTGCAGACTCCAAGGGCAGAAATAATCCTTTGCTGTTTGCATCCAAGACTCATGTGCTTTGTACCACCTACTGCTTAGACTCTTCACGCATTTGGTGAACTGTATAAGCTGTCTCACTACCATAAGTTAACCACCTACCCAGTGTAGGTGCCATGGTCCACATTCCACAGACCATCTACAAAGGATCTCCCTGCATGCAAATTTGTCATGAGAGAGATGTGTTACTCCCAATCTCATTTTCTAGTTGAGGTTCAAAAAGACTACTTTCCTAAGGTCATAAGTTCAAAACCCAAACTCCCTATTTGTTCAGTATGCCTATTACTGTCACTGTCACCTGTTTCCTAGCACTGAGTTTGTCACACAGAATGTAAATGGAAGCATCAAAGGTCCGATGATTCCCTCAACTACATGAGGGCATTTCTTAAAATCAATCTGCCTATTGAATTTTGTATGACACATTTTCAGCAACTAAATTAAATGTGGTGGAGTATATATCAATGCCCTAAAATAGTTTATAGAGACTTAAAAAATGTACCAGTATTTTTTCTTTTGAACACATTTTTATGGTCATTAGTATTTACATAAGATATCAGGCATTAGTAAGCATTTAATTCTATCTTCACATTAAGCAGGCTGGATTGTGTTCACGGTATTCTAACCACACTGGGTTGTTAGGTGGTGTACATCATCCCAGGTCATGAGGAGTAACTTATTTTTAGGTGTATCCACAGCTCTAAGACCAGATCCTGGTAGGTACACCTGATGTGTGTGGCCATGTTTGCAATAGAAGATAGCTTCTGTGCATGAATTCTAAACTTCTGGTTATCACATCGTCTCCTCTTAGCCTCAGACAGCAGTCAGGAAATTCTTGCTTTGTGGGTGCCCTGGTTCCTCTGCACACAGAAGACGTTGAATCTCAAGCCCTTGGTTCTTGTGCACAGTAAGCACACCCCTTGGGTGGCTATGATCAAGCTCATCTGAAGGACAGGACAGGGCATAGCTGACCTTCCACCATTGGAGTGTGGCTAGCACAGACGCATCCAGTCTTTCTGCGTACCGAATCTTCTCCCTGTGACTAAATGCATCTATCCCTAACCAGACAACTGTCCGACCAGCCGCATTCTGTGCCTAATCTCAACCTGTCTGCTCCCTGCTGAGAAGGAGAACCCAAGTCAGTCCTTTAGTGGCCTGAAGCAGCAGGAAGGTGTGCTGGGGACAGGGAAGGCTCAGCTATGAGGAAAGGAAACAAGACTCAAACACAGATGGGCCTCAGAAAGAGACCACACGTGGTGATTTCCACGACTGTGTTCATGAATTGCCTAGTGAATCGAGCACTCTGGTGATAGGTAGATCTTCAAATTAGCTGGTGACTGATGAGAAAAACATTTAGATTTTAACTTATTGAAATGAATTGGCAAATATGTGTCACCCTTTTCATAACAGATTTTATTTAAGTGTATTTCATAATTTATTTGGAATCTTAGAAGTCTTGTATCTTAGTCACCTAAAATAATTAGTCCTACTAGTAATCATTATTTTCCACCGATCATATATGTATTACAGATTTATAGTGGGTATTTGGATCAATAGCTGTAAGTTTAATTAAGGGAAAAGAAGAAAAAATTACTTATTTAGTTTTTTATTATTCACCTTCCACATACAATTAGCAGTTTTTAGCATATAGCAACAATGAAAATGGTCTGTTAATCAAAATACAGAAAAGCCAAGCACTGGCTATGTAATAAGAGTCAAATCTGGCTTTTGTGTCTCACTGATTATAGAAGTTGGTTTATTACCTTGGAAAACATTAACTTTACAAACACCAAAGTCACAATGATAATTTTTTGGTACCATGTCTCAGCCAGCCAGTCCACGGTGGCTGCAACAATAGCAGGGGGAGCTAGAGACACACATTCTGTGTTTGAGTAAATGTCTAATGTGTCTTGATGGTTGCAGAAAAGGGAATAATCTTCCAAATGCTAATGGCAGCTTTGGCGATGATTGTATCAGCTATGAAAATAAGTCTTGGCCCATGTACTGCCAGGTTGCCAAAAATAAGTCAGAGTGGCTAATCAGATTCACTTGCTGGGACTAATGAGGACAGGCAGTGGGCCAAGTGGGAGCTAGGCAGTGAGCCTGATAGGAACCTGGTCTCGGCTGCTGCCTCCTTCCTGGTCCATTGTGCCTCAGATTGTCCTGGGATCAATCTCTGCTCAGGAGGAGGGTCTGACTCTGTGGCCCCCCGGCATGAGTTCTCTGCTAAGAGCAAGGAGGAATAGAAGTAACTATCGTCCCTGATTTGCTTATGTGCTGACTATAAAAATACTTTAAGAACATTTTTGTTTGTTTGCTTTTTGAGACAGGGTTTCTCTGTGGCCTTGGAGGCTGTCCTGGAACTCACTCTGTAGACCAGACTGGTCTGGAACTGATCTGCCTCTGCCTCCTGAGTGCTGGAATTAAAGGCATGCACCCTCACCGCCAAGCCCTTAAGAGCATTTTTGGGGCTGGGTCCACCAGTATTGCTTAACTCTGCAGTAAGATTTTCACCTACATTTCCTTTACACATATTTAAAAACATTTCTTATTGGTTAACACTTTTACACATTTATGTAATGAACTGTGTAGTTCTCAACCCCATATCCCCCCCCCCCACTGCCCCTCTTCTCAGCAACTCCCCCTTCCACTCTCATGTCCTGGTTTTGTGCCAAGAGGTTAAGAGCAGAGGTGGGAGGTTATTTACTGGAACAAGGAGAACTCACCAGCAGTTACATCACTGAAGAAAGTGACACCCCTCCCCCAACAACTGTTGATTGTCAAACATCCATCTCAGTGGGTGGGGTTTCATGGAATGAAATGACAGAACAAGCCTAGACACACATCTCCTCATACCTCTTGTGATTTATGGTTCAACACTAAAGATCAGCTCTTGGTGGCAGCAGCTGGGGCCTGAGGTTTGGTTATAGCAAGAAGTGGGAATTCAGGAGACTGTGATTGGTCCATAGCTATTCCCAGGGGGAGAGGAGCTACTGGAAATAGGATGGGAAGCACCACTAAAAAGGTTCTGGGGTATAGGATGAGGAAACCACCGACTGACCAGAGACCAGTCAGACCCTGGTAAACAGTCCCCTGTCCCAAATAAAAGCAATAATAATGCCTATTTGACAAGCTTTTATAATGAGCATTTTTATGTATGCTTTTCCTTTTACTCCTTAAGCAGTTATCAGACATAAGTATTATCTCCAGTTAATACAGTGAGATAAAATAATTTGTTTACATCCATAGCACAGGCTTGGTATCAGAGGGTTTGTATTTATATTCCTGCTCTACAGTTTACTACCTATGAGTGCCTAGGGACATCTAAGGTTCTCTGAACTTAGTTTTCATGATGTCTAGAATAAGGAAATATTATAGCCCATGAATTGTGCATGAGTGTGGAGAGAGTTCTACAGCATCCAAGCGCAATGCAGAATGATAACTAAAAATTCCATCACTCGGAAGAAACATACATGACATCTTCTTATCAAGTCACCATGCATATAGGAATGAAAAGGCCACTCACTGTACCGAACACCATAGTGAATAAATAGTTCCTGACATTGTGCAGACAAAACACTTCCAAGGAAAGAGTCAAACCTATGAGAGATGCACCAAGATTTTACATGTTACGGGGGGCATCAGAATGGCCATGTAACCAAGTCTGCATTTTATAAATAACCTCAGATGTATTTTCTGGTTGAGCCATCAACACACCCATTTAGGTGTTATCTCAAGTCACTGGGGAAGTCGCTAAGGATCAAAGATAACACTGGATTTCTCAAGGCAACTCCTCCTGTGTGAAGGAATGGGCGCTGTCCCAGCTAACTTATCCATCAACTCAGCTTGGCTTAATGGAGGAATGTCCTGATGGTTAACTGACGGTGGAAACCCACTCCAGCATGGGCAGCGCCAGTCTCCAGACGGTGCGTCTGGCTGTGTAAGAAGCAGGTTTCTCCCATGGTGTCTGCTTGGGTTCTTGCCCTGACTTCACCCCCATGACGGACTGAGACCTAAAAGTGGAAATAAACCCTTCCCTCCACTAAGCCACTTCTGGTTGGAGTGTTTTATCGGAACAACAGAGTGAAACTAGAAAAGGTACTCAAGGAAATTCTTGCAGGTACAGAATGTGGTTTTTGTTATGTCATTGTCCCCACACTGTCAGGACCTGAAGAAAGAATGACTTCCCTGATGCCAACTTCCATGTCCGTATGTGGCTGACAGCCAACTCCCTCAGTGCAGACCATTGCTGATTCCTCTAGATTATGCTTGATAGATGATTTAAAAGTGTGGTATGAAAGAGAAAAACACTTTGAAGATTAACAGGCTTGAATTCAAATTCCAATTTATAGCTATTATCTCATTTAAATTCTTCCCAGGTGTGTCCAACCTAGGGATGATTATGAATTCAACTCAACACATTGGTAGATGACAATGTCATATCACTGTGTCAAAAGGTTGGCCTTTATTGTCTCAGGTAAGTGACAGAGATGCTGAAACCTACTGTGACTGGTTTTTGGGAGAGGGAGATTGAGATGAGAGCTGCACTTTGCCTACCTTACTGCTAGGAACTTAGTAGATTCCCCCAAACAAAGGCCAGGCCCTCCCACTATGTTTCTATTTATTTGCACGTGTGTGTGTGTGTGTGTGTGTGTGTGTGTGTGTGTGTGTGTGTGTGTGTGCACGTGCGCACACTCAAGTTCTACCTTGTGGGTCAGAGGGACTGAACTCAGATCTGCAGGCTCAGTGGTAGCTTACCTTTACACTAATGTTGCTAATATATTTCTGACCTATTTCCTCATTGATTTTCTTTAAACTATGTAAATTTTAGAAGCTGTATATGTCTATAGGACACAAAGTCTAAGAATAACATAAGGACCAGTCCATTTCCTCACTCTTTAGTGACATGCTTCTGTGACATCATGAACCATAGAAGCCCGCATTTCTTTTTCTCTTAGTGCTGTGACAGTCTGAGCTCACCTACTGGAGTGGGGTAACCATGGAAACAGTGTTAATACTAATGCTGTTGTGAAATTTGGAAACTGGGAAGCTGTGTTTAGCTGATGATTGGCAGGAGAGGAGGCGGGTTGGCTTTTCAAGCCAGGGGCACACAGAATCCATATGATCTCAGCAGGTGAGCAACTGGGCACATTATAGACACCTGTGACTTTCTTCTGGTTCAATGTGCTTTGAGAAGCAGATGATGCTGATAGCTTAATTTTTCCCCTTTTGAGTAAAGTTTGAAAAGGACTTCCCCTTGCGAAGATGCTTGGGAAGTGCTGCTGTTTCACTCACAGGCAGATACTGTTAGAAACAGCCATGCAGAGCCTCTGACTTTAGAAAGTCCGAGTTTACATCTTCTCGAAGCCATGAAGCATCTTCCAGTTAGTTAAACCCAGTTAGTTAAAGGTAGTCAACAAAGAGCCAAGTCTACCGCCCAATATCACCACATGCTTGCTTAGGTAAGACCCTTGTGACATTCTGCAGTTCCATCCTTTAGTGACTCTTCCTTTTAAGTTGCTTAGGTTGGCAACAGCATGTGAGACCTTTAACGAAAACAGTTTCACACATCCACAATCACCAGGGTCCTTTACAGAGTCCCCTGTATGAACGGGGAAAAGCCCGGATGCTAAGGAAAATGGAATGCAACACTTCACCGACTGTGCTCAGTGTTTACTTTCAGATAGTAATGGTCTCAAACCATGGAAAAAGAAGTTTCTTAGATGGTGGGTGACAGCCACACGTATCTGTGAGTGTAAGGGTTTGCATTTAATATTAATTTAGGGATTATGCCGTTTAGTAAAGTGGTAGTAATATACAACTATACTTTCAGGGATCATTTCTATAGTTCGTAAAGTAGTAGTAGTAGGTTGTTATCTAAGATTCCTGTCCTAACTAGCCATGGGTTGTTGGGTTATTTCCCTGCTATTGCATGGGCCTTCCGGCCAGCTGGACTGCCTTTGGTCACCTCCAGGGTATCGGTGCCACACTCCTGCACCTTTAGGGACGTCTAACTTGCCATGCAGGTCACTCCTGTGCTTCATAGGAGTTGTTGATGAAAAGGGACTGGAAAGAGCACAAGCCAGAAGAGCAAGAAGTCTGCTGTGAAACTCCTGTGTCCTACATGTGATGGGTTGCCACAGCCATGAAATCTCAGCAATATGGCTGCCTCTGGAAACCTGGACAATTCCAATACCAGTTGACATCCCAAAATGGATGGATAAACCTACCGGGGCCCCATCCCTAGATGAGGAGCTGAAGACAACTAGTGCTGAGGAAATGAGAAGTAGTCTTCCCCGTGGACCTCTATCGAATACCAACTAGTCAGCTCTGAAATCATATGCCTATAAATGACACCAAATGAACTCAGCATGTTATAGTTACATATTTATCTGCACACACACACACACACACACATACACACACACACCAACGATGATTAAAGGAAAAGAAGCCTTGGATTTGAGAGGGTTGGAGGGAGAAGATGGGGGAAATGTAATCCTATTTTAGTTAAAATAAGAGTTTTAAAAAGTTAAGGATTAATGCTAAGACAAAAGTACCCCACCTTTAGGTTATAAAGTAGGAACTGGTCAGATGCCCATTCTAAAACAAAAGCAAAAGTTCCTCTCCATGGCCTGATGGCCCCGGAATTCCTTTTGGGGAAAACAGCCACTTGGTAAAGAAGGGAACACTCTGGGGCCCTGAAGAGAAGGATCTGGGCAAATGAACAACGCCATAAACAGACAAACTGGTGTTCTACTTACAAAAACAGATGGCTTCATTCCAGAAAGTTCAGGGAGAAATGAGAGACAAAGAGATAAGAAAACCAGGGAGAAAAGGAGCCAGCAAGATAGTTAGATGCCGGGAAGTGGAAGGGGCAGACAGCCAATGGAAACACACAGATGGAGAGGGGCCGAGGGGCACTGGAAAGCTGGAAATGCCTGGTGTTGTGTTTGAAGATAGCGTTTTAATCAGTAAATGTTTTCCTTCTCCTGGCTTCCCAGGCTACAGGAAGTTCTGTGGCACTCACAGAGCCTAGGTGTGCACAGGAAGCCTCCAGCGCTCCCCGAGAAGGCTGTTTTACCTTAGCGTGGCGGGGTGTGGAAATGGCCTCTGGAAGTTGGCACCTGAAGGGAGAGGAATAGGTGAGAATGATGATTCCTACCAAGTGAAATATCTCACGGGGGGTTTGAAATATTATCAGAGTGGAGCAGACTTAACGCCCGCTTCGTTAGGTGTCTGAGAAGGAAGCCATTCCTGACTCCACCATGAAGTGCTGAGTGAGGGTTAGCAGAGGTGAGTGCAGTTGAAATGATGACATGACATAGGAAAGAAATGACAGGAACTCAAGTCTAAGTAGCCTTAAGAGATGCAGAATGCGTAGTCCTCTAAACCCGGTAACTTGGACGGGCGTGTGTTTGTTCTACTGTGGATTCTGTGTATACACACACACACACACACACACACACACACACACACACATCACTATCATATATGCAGGAGGTGTGCAAGCAGATATGGCAAGAAAGAAAGAGGGTAACGTAGCATTAGCTCAGTATAGCTTAATGGGTAAGGTGAATGGGTTACCCTTGGGCATCCTAGTTCAGGTGCTGAGCAAGGAACTGGATTATGTATTTAAGAAGAGAGGTCTGGTCCCAATATTAGAAGAAGTAGTAGATTCCTCTACATAGTCTGTGACATCCCCAACCCTTGGTTTTTGACTAGGTTGACAGGACCAGACACATAGCCTTGAGACTTGTCTTCGATTGTGTCTATGGTTTCTCTCTTCTTTGAAATACTGGATTGGTGGCTGGAGAGACAGTCAAGCTGTTAAGAAACCACACTGTTCTTTCAGAGGCATTTACAACCCAGCGCCCACATCAGGCAACTCACAACTGCCTGTAGCCTCAATGGATCCGCGCGCGCGCGCGCGCGCGCGCGCACACACACACACACACACACACACACACACACACACCAATATAAATAGTTCAAAGATAACAGAAATTTAAAGTAATAGTCTCTTGATAGAACAGTATTATAAAAACAGGATTATGAAGGAAAACAACACCAGTTGAATAAGGTATTTTTGCTCTCTAGAACACAGATAAATGCAATGCACTACAGATGCAAATTTCTCATCTGGAAAATGAGGCCAGTGCTTCTTTGTACAATGACTCACACCACGGTTTGAATGGTGTCTGTCCTACTGAGCCTCATGCTGATGGATTCAGTGGCAGTGTTGGGACGTGGGTGGATTAAAATGTCTTGTCTTGGTAAGAGGGCTTAGCTCTTCCTCATGGTAGGTGCTTGCTGTCTTGTGATTCGTGTGCTTTTGAAAGTAGATTGGTTTAGACTAGTGGTTCTCAACGTTTCCCAATGCTGTGACCCTTTAATATAGCATCTCATGTTGTGGTGACTCAAACCATAAATTATTATCATTGCTACTTCACAACTGTAATTTTGCTACTGTTGCAAATCATAATATATTAATATCAGATATATAGAATATCTTATGTGATGTGAAGGCATAGTTTTACCCACAAAGGGTGGAAACCCTCAGGTTGAGACCTGCTGCTCTAGAGTAAGACTGTGTCTATGTCTCTCTCACACATGGTCGCTTGCACTCCACCTTTTTTACCATATTATGAGGAAGTATGAGGCTCTTATTAGATGCTTCCATCTGAACAGGGAACTACACTCCTTCCCTTTGTAAAACGAGCCTTAGCTGTTTTTGCTATAGTAAGAGGGAGATAGGTGGAGACAACTCTATTGGATGGAGGTTCTAAACTGGGCAGCATAGCAGGGTCTGTTCTAAGTGTCCAGCAAAGAGCAGCTCTGTCCACAGGAGTCAGATGGGAAGAAAATCTTAGGGAAAGGTTTGCAATTCTCACCCGATACTAATCTGTTTCAGGCTATCAGTTAGAACTTTCACAGTTTGCAGTCCTGGCTTTGCTAGCACCACACAATTTTCTGCTCCATCACAATTTTCAAGAACTC